GGCATGGGGAAGGAGGGGGAGGTCCTGGCTGGCCAGAAGACCTCCTGGGTGGGAGCTGGGAGACACTGGGAGGTAGCTGGGAGCTACTGGGTGGTAACTGGGAGGCATGGGAGGGAGCAGGAGTGGTGCTGGGGGGAACTGGGAGGGCACTGGGATGTGCTGGGAGAGCACTGGGAGGGACTGGGAAGGAACTGGGGAGCACTGGGAGCTACTGGTGGGTTACTGGGAAGGGACGGGGGAGCACTGGGAGCTACTGGTGGGTTACTGGGAAGGGACGGGGGAGCACTGGGAGCTACTGGTGGGTTACTGGGAAGGGACGGGGGAGCACTGGGAGCTACTGGTGGGTTACTGGGAAGGGACGGGGGAGCACTGGGAGCTACTGGTGGGTTACTGGGAAGGGACGGGGGAGCACTGGGAGCTACTGGTGGGTTACTGGGAAGGGACGGGGGAGCACTGGGAGCTACTGGTGGGTTACTGGGAAGGGACGGGGGAGCACTGGGAGCTACTGGTGGGTTACTGGGAAGGGACGGGGGAGCACTGGGAGCTACTGGTGGGTTACTGGGAAGGGACGGGGGAGCACTGGGAGCTACTGGTGGGTTACTGGGAAGGGACGGGGGAGCACTGGGAGCTACTGGTGGGTTACTGGGAAGGGACGGGGGAGCACTGGGAGCTACTGGTGGGTTACTGGGAAGGGACGGGGGAGCACTGGGAGCTACTGGTGGGTTACTGGGAAGGGACGGGGGAGCACTGGGAGCTACTGGTGGGTTACTGGGAAGGGACGGGGGAGCACTGGGAGCTACTGGTGGGTTACTGGGAAGGGACGGGGGAGCACTGGGAGCTACTGGTGGGTTACTGGGAAGGGACGGGGGAGCACTGGGAGCTACTGGTGGGTTACTGGGAAGGGACGGGGGAGCACTGGGAGCTACTGGTGGGTTACTGGGAAGGGACGGGGGAGCACTGGGAGCTACTGGTGGGTTACTGGGAAGGGACGGGGGAGCACTGGGAGCTACTGGTGGGTTACTGGGAAGGGACGGGGGAGCACTGGGAGCTACTGGTGGGTTACTGGGAAGGGACGGGGGAGCACTGGGAGCTACTGGTGGGTTACTGGGAAGGGACTGGGGAGCACTGGGAGCTACTGGTGGGTTACTGGGAAGGAACTGTGGAGCACTGGGAAGGAGCCTCAAGTGAACTGGGGACACTGGCATGTACTGGGAACATACTGGTGTGAGTGGGAGGGGAAGAGGAAGCACTGGGAGGCGGCAGCTGTTGTGGAACTGGTACTGGGAGGGAGTTGTGGGTGAACTGGGAGCACTGGGAGGTGGTGGGGGTGTACTGGTGTGGGTGAGAGGGGAAGAGAGGGTACTGGGAACGCTGCGGTGGGGGGCACTGGGAAGCACTGGGAGCACTGGTGGGCTGTGGGAAGGAGGAGGGAAGGTAATGGAGGGGACTGGGAGGGACTGGGAGGGTACTGGGAAGGAGCTGGAGGTGAACTGGGGGCACGTGGGAAGGAATGGGGAAGCACTGGGAGGGAACTGGGAGGTGCTGAGGGTGTACTGGGGATACTGGGAGGGAACTAGAGGTTACTGGGAGGGAACTGGAGGCTACTGGGAGGCACTGGGGGCCACGGAGGGGAATGAGGCAGTGTTGGGAAAGGACTGGGAGGCACTGGGAGGGAACTGGGAGGCAGGGAGTGGGAAGCAGGAGGTTACTGGGAGCACTGGAAGGACACGGGGGTGGCACAGGGAGGTGCTGGGGGGGAACTGGGAGATACTGGGCGGGAAGTGGGAGACACTGGGGGGTAACTGGGAGACACTGGGAAGAACTGGGAGATACTGGGAGGGAACTGGGAGGTCATTGGAAAGGAGGGGGAGGGCCTGGCTGGCCAGAAGACCTCCTGGGTGGCAACTGGGAGACACTGGGAGGTAGCTGGGAGCTACTGGGTGGTAACTGGGAGGTACTGGGAGCTAACTGGGAGCTACTGGGAGGTAACTGGGAGGCACTGGGAGGAGCTGGGAGGTCATTGGAAAGGAGGGGGAGGTCCTGGTTGGTCCTGGCTGGCCAGAAGACCTCCTGGGTGGGAACTGGGAGCTACTGGGAGACACTGGGTGGGGAACTGAGAGGTACTGGGAGGTAACTGGGAGGCAATGGGAGGAACTGGGAGGGAACTGGGAGGCCACTGGGAAGGAGGGGGAGGTCCTGGTTGGTCCTGGCTGGCCAGAAGACCTCCTGGGTGGGAACTGGGAGCTACTGGGAGACACTGGGTGGGGAACTGAGAGGTACTGGGAGGTAACTGGGAGGCACTGGGAGCTAAATGGGAGCTACTGGGAAGTAACTGGAGGGAACTGGGAGGTCATTGGGAAGGAGGGGGAGGTCCTGGCTGGCCAGAAGACCTCCTGGGTGGGAGCTGGGAGACACTGGGAGGTAACTGGGAGCTACTGGGAGGTAACTGGGAGCTACTGGGATCTCCCCAGTGGCCGTGGGGGACGAGACCCGCATCGTGGGCGGGAAGAGCTGCCCCCGCACCCGCCACCCCTACCAGGTGGTGCTACTGGGACCCCAGCAGAACATCCACTGCGGGGGGGTCTTACTGGGCCGGTACTGGGTCCTGACGGCGGCTCATTGTGACACCCAGAGGTGGGTACTGGGAGGGAACTGGGAGGGTCGGGGTGCCCACCCACCAGTGGCCCAGGGGCACTGGGACCAGTGGAGGTGGTGGGACTTCACTGGGTTGGTCACTGTCGGTGTGTAACTGGGCTCCCAGTATGACCAGTGCCTTGGG